TGCTGTAGCTGCTGCTGCTGCTGTAGCTGCTGCTGCTGCTGTAGCTGCTGCTGCTGTAGCTGCTGTTGTAGTTGCTGCTGCTGCTCGGGTTGGGGCTCTTGCTGCTGCTGCACGAGCTGCCGCTGCTGCTCATACTGCTGCTGGAGGGGGTCTTCGTGCTGTTTAAGATGCAGAAGCTGTTGCTGCTGGTACTGCTGCTCTTGCTGCAGCATTTTTAGTGCGGGCTGCTGCTGCTGCCCGTTGTGCTGCTCCTTTTGGGGATCGTACTGCTGCTGCTGCTGCTGCTGCTGCTTCTCCAGCTGGTAGCAGTGAGCGACCTGCTGTTGCCCTCCGGAGTCTGCTGCTGCTGCTGCTGCTGCTGCTACTCCTGCTGCAGTGGCCGCACTTGCTGCAGTTGCTGCTGCAGATAAATAGTCATTTGACAACCCGCTTGTTGCGGAACTGCTGCTGCTTGTAAGGACAGTGCTCTCTGCTGCTGCTGCTGCCGCTGCGGCTGCTGCTGCTGCTGCTGCGGCTGCTGATGTAGTTGCGGCTGCTGAGACTGCAGCACCAGCGGCCATTCGCGCCTCCACCGTCAAAAGCTGCTGCTGCTGCTGCTGCTGCTGCTGATCCTGGGATAAACGCTCACCTTTCAAGCTCCTTGGCGTTTCCAAAGGCGTCGCTGCTGCGTTTGTTGCCGCTGACGCTTCAGCTGCTGCTGCTGCTGCTGCTGCTGCTGCTGCTGTCTCACCTGCCAGCTGGCCTGCCGTGGGTGTCTCCCCCGTAGGTCCTGCTGCTGCGCCACTATCAGCAGCAGCAGCAGCAGCAGCAGCAGCAGTGTAGCGACAAGGGGCCTCCGTCAAAGGGCACATAAAGCGCAGCGACTCTGGTACACGAGTGGCTATAAGCTCCAGCAGGGCCAGCAGCTCCTGAGCCCACAAACCCTAAACCCTAAACCCTAAACCCTAAACTCTAAACCCTAAACTCTACACCCAGGAAAGGCCAACGGAAAAGCAACGCAAAATCGCCGCCTTCAAGGGCCAAAGGGTTTAGCGATTGGGGTAGAAGGCTTGGCGCTGAGACTTTTAAGAACTAGGGTTTAGGGTTTAGGGTTTAGGGTTTACTGCTTGCTGTTCTCTCGCTGCTTGCAGCTGCCCATCGCGCTGCGCAAGAGAAGCTGATAGGCGAATGACCTCCTGATGGAGCTGCAGGCATACCCACAGACAAACCCTAAACCCTAAACCCTAAACCCTAAACCCTAAACCCTAAACCCTAAAACCCCGCTTACCTCGGACGAGGGCTTTTGCACAGCCTCCAACTGCACTTGCAGCGCTGCGATTTGCTCACTGCGAGCCTGCCAGCCACAAACCCTAAACCCTAAACCCTAAACCCTAAACCCTAAACCCTAAACCCTAAACCCTAAACCCTAAAGCCGTAAATCCCAACATTCTGCCGACAGTTGTTGGCGCCCTTGCCGGCAGCGTCGCCCTTGGCTTGCTGCAGTGGTCTAGGGTTTAGGGTTTAGGGTTTAGGGTTTAGGAGCTTGCGTTCGTTGAGGCTTGGCCCATGTAGGGTTTAGGGTTTAGGGTTTAAGGTACGTTTGCTGCTGCTTCCTGCTGGACTGTCTCTAGCAGCAACGCCGCTAGCTGCGCTTTTGTCTCCCCCAGCTCCCGCGACAGCAGCAGCCTTTCTGCTGCTGCTCTTTCTGCTGCAGCAGCACGAGCTTGCTGCAGCTGCTGCACCTGAGGGCCAACCTTACACCGCCAACCCTAAACCCTAAACCCTTAAACCTAGGATTTATGCCAGGGAGCTGCACTACTACCGATGCCCACCAGCTCATTGGAGGTTAGGGTTTAGGGTTTAGGGTTTACGGTTTAAGGGTTTAAGTTCTTTACCTCTTTTCCTAGGGTTGTTGCTTCAGCAGCAAGAGCAGCAAACAGCTCTGGTGCTGCTGCTTGCTGCAGCAGCGCTGCATGCCTCTCAGCAGCAGCAAGATTAAACCGCACCGCGTCCAGGGCCTCGTGCTGCACCGCAAACCCTAAACCCTAAATCCTAAACCCTAAAACCTAAACCCTTAACCCTAAATCCTTAGCCCTAAACCCTAAATCATAGGCCCCGAAGGCATCACGCAGGTTGGAAGACGGACTCGGCAAGCGCAGAAACGGGATTGACAATCCAGCTTTAGGGCTTAGGGTTTAGGGTTTAGG